ATTGTCACGGCGTTGGATTCAGGAAGCATGTCGCCATTGCGCTATAAGGCCACGTTTTTAAATTTGTTTTCGGAAGTTTGAGAACTAATTTCAAATTCGAGTTTTTGCTAGATTTTTGGGAAAAGGTAGCGTAAATTATATTTTAAAAAGGCGTCAAATGCCATTTACAAATCGAAAATCGGACCATTGATTCAGGCGTTATCAGTAAAGTAAATTCCCCTGTGATAGTGCTGCGATCTATTGAATTTTCCTACAAGTATTTTTCGGTGCATTTAGCCTTAAAATTAGAAGCTATTACTAAACAAAGGAATCACATTCACACACTTTCCGTGCGAAGATCACTGCAATCCTTACCTAATTTAAAACTACTGAATGGCCATTTTATTTCTGATTCAATGTTAATTTTTAATATTAAACCAATGTTCGAACTTGTAGAAATTTATATTCTGTTTGTTGCAATTTTTCCACTTTCCTTTCGAAGAATGCACAGCTCTCTTGCACATCGTATTTCCCCTTTTTTTCGCCAGGGACACTTCTTTCTCGGCGACGATGGCTCCAACCATTACCGCACTCAAAAGTTTTGAATTTCTAATTAAATATCTATTAATTGCCATTACTTCGAAGATGTCATTTACTTTGACTTTTTACCTAGGTTAACAAATAAAACTTAAAAAGGGGAGCTCATCACACGTAACCGTCCTACATGGCGACTTCGCTTTCTCTCAAACTTCGTACAATAGTGTAATTCACCTGACAGTCTTCTGTTCGTCTTTTCGGCGCAGTTCGAGCTCTGAGTCGTTTCTCTATATTAACTTGTATGCACCGTGTTTTTTCGTCTAACCTATCGTACTTTTCCATTCGTCTCCGGCCTTCGTTTTTCTCTTCTTGAAATTATTTGAGTGAAAAGCATATTTAAACATCATTTTCTTTTCTTTCGGGGGCTTTCCAGCTTCAGGGTATGCCGATTTCGACTATTCATGTCGGGTACTCACTATGTCCCTCGTGGGTTCACGCCGGGTCCCACACGTATGAACCTTTACACTGACACTGACACACTTGCGGGCTACTCAGTCTGTGGTCAGCGGACTCACAAGGCCTTCCGCGACAACACACGTACTACATGGGAGACGAGGAACAAACAACCATGCCCTGGCCGAGGCACTGAGTGGGCACGCGCTCTAGTCACCTCGGCCATCTAGGTCGGCATTTAAACACCAATTCTATCACAAATTAATTTCAATTTTTTACTTTGTCATCTTCCTATAATTCAGATGACATGGTTCATCTCAATACACACACGTGTACATATATAAATAGGGATTGCTCATTTGGACGTATGTTCACGAGCCGCACGATTAACAGGGTAGGTATCTCCCACTATCGTAGCACCACCCGACAGATCTCCCGGCATGTGTGGTAGTGCTGTGCAATATAGTGTAAGAGTGAGGATAGGACAGGGAAGAGGCAGGAAATATCGCGCGCGGCCCGCGGCCCGTTTGTTAGCGTACTGCCAGAGCATTCGCCTGGCGTTGATAGGTGAAACCACGGAAAACTACTGAACAGAGCAGCGGATGCGAGAATTCTCCTCCAGACAGCGACTGAATTCGATCTAGCTGACAGGTTAGTGTCGGGAAGCGAACCTAGGACCTCCGGATCAGAAGCATTGATCTTCGTTTGCGGCCTGGGTCACACATCTACTCTATATTTTATTACACATGTTTCTTTAACAAAATGCAGTCAACTAGCGTCACTTACTTTTATTTTCCTTTTTGTCTATTATTTCCCCGAAACTACACAGTGAATTCGTATTGTAGCTTACATGACACAAATAGTACACTGTGCCTCGTCGTGGGTATGGAAATTTAACCTCAAATATGCTACTGGCTGATATAATTTTTCTCAGATTCCTGATAGCACTGCGATTGTGTCGTCTTGCCTCACAAGAGACACCGCCAGCTGGTAGCTTCCGACTAGTAGACTACCTTGAGTGCAGGTAAGAGACGAATTCTGCGTGACGGCTGGCGTTCTCGTGCTGAATGAAGCGAGGGTGACCTCACTCGGGTTGACACGGCATGACGCGAATGGCTGTTCCCACTTTCCACGGGCCAAGGAGCAGGCGCTCTCGGGGTCGGCACTAGTGATGCGACATTGACAAGAAAACATCAATGTTCAAAATACATCGACCAAAAACCATCGATATTTTAAATTTGGTTTAATAACCTCTGAAATTAAATTCATTCGCAACAAAATTTAATTTGACAATGGCCCTACTTATTAATTTATATAATTAAAATTTAACTGAAAACAAAGTTATACGTTTCTCCACGTGCGAAATACAGGAAAACGAAGGAAAAACGAAAGGAAAAACGAAGGAAATTCCAAGCTATCGAGATCATCACGAGCAAGCGAATTGCCGCTCGATGAAGATAGGACAAACCGCGTTCGTTTCGATGGAATAGAAATAGATTTTGGTATCATAAGTTATTGTCTCTTATCTTAACTTTCAGAAAAATGTGATTATGGGCATTTTTCATCGCCGAACAAAACATTGAAAACGTACAAACATCCGTTTCAATAGATCAATGTTTAACACATGGGTATTTTTATAGAAACATCGATGATTTGAAAACATCGGCATCGATGTCGCATCCCTAGTCGGCTCTCGCAGATAGTGAATGGCCCGCCTCGACTCGTCTTGCGTCCGAAGCGGGGGTCGCATTACACGTGCGGGGCGCGGGGCTGGGCGACATGTTGGCAGCGAGCATAGAGCCCTCAGAACTTGGTACACAAAGCTCTGGCCATAGAACCCGTCCTAACATACATCACCTAACGATTTCATACATTCTTCCAAAATCTATCCACATCTCATCTCAATCAATCTAGGGAAAGAGCATCCCCTGGAACCTCGTCTACGCAACGAACTCCCCTTTCACATTTTCCTTCGTAATGTACCTGATATTAGATATACTCCTCTCGTCAACAGTCAGTAATATGCCCTCTCCCTCTTTAATATCTGCTTAATTCTGTTTAAAAAGAGGTTACCATAGCTACGAGCTTCTTATCATTACGTCTGAAAATGCTCGCTCCAACTGAGAAGCCGTATGGCTGACAATGTGTGTTGAATAATCACATTCTGCAATTCACTTAATTTTTAAAAAAGCGTGTAAAAAGAATGTCTTTCGCCTCAAAATCATGCGACAGGAATTCGGGCAGCGGTAAACTATTTACTAATGCAACTGTACTTCACAGTTCACTTGTGAATAAGTACGAGCTTTGATTAATTCAGGTTCGTGTCGCATTAGCGTATAAACTTCCGTTATCACAAAACTTTGTTGCAGAACATTTTTGAAGTCACGAAAGATAACTCGAAAACTACTCGTATTTTCTAATAAAGGTACCTGACCTTATTTAAAGAGCTATACTGAAGAACAGATTCCATGACGGAATATATATATATATATATATATATATATATATATATATATATATATATATATATATACCTTCAATATTGTAGTTGTAGAAAGTCTTCGAAAAGCTCCCCAAAAATCGAAATACCCATATCAAATTCACAAGGTCGATGAAGGAATACCAACTGAAGAGAAAAATCGTGTGAGCGCTTCAGCTATTAGTATTATGCATACACACACACGGACAGACTGACAAAGACGTTTTGCTGTCAATCGTTCGTATTTCGGTATCAAGGACCCACAAAACGTGAATTCTATCTACACAACCTGCTAGAGAAAGTAATTTACTGTATAGTATTGGAACCAGATTTATTCCCTTTTTCAATACCAGGCCCGATAATACTAGTTATTCTGCCAAAACAATCGCTGATTTTTTTGCGGCACCAGTTCAATAATTTTCTACATAAGTACAAATACAACCCTTTCCTACATAAGTACTAGTAAGGCGAGAAAGTAAAAACGATATATCTACTACCGTCACGTTTCGAAGACACTTCAATTCCTAGAGGCTAATGAGGGACAAAAACTCTTTCTATACTTCAAAATTAATTATGCCTTGCTTTCGATGTCCAAGTATTTTGGTGATGTATTTTGCATTATTGCATTGCGTTAGTCAACTAATGAGTCCGTAGTAACGGGGCGATTACTTCTTGCAAAGAAATGTGCATTGAATGTATATTTTAGATGCTTTGGAAGCTGCTGTGTCGCTAGAACAGCTTTGGTGGCTCACATCGTTTTTAAGTTTTATTCTTGCACTATGAAGTATACCACTTAAAGACGAAAAATGTTTCGCAACACGTACCAAAGCGGTTTTCTTTCTATTTTGTACAGTGTTGGTGCGAAACCGCTTGCCATTTGGACGAAAAAGGTATTTTTTATTAAATATTCATATCTTGAAGAGGGCATGGAAGTAACTACTTGTTTGTACTATAATAAATTACAAGTGTTTGTATAGATGAGTATTTTGTCATCTTCGGGATATTGTGACTTTGTGGTGGGCATTTTGACGTTGTGTAGGAAATTTTTTTTATCAAGGTTGATAAGGAAGCGAATATCAATGAATGTGCAAATATGACGCGTTAGGAAATAATGTTTCATGACCAACCGAAACATGAACAGTACTTAATCTTACGCCCGTTACAAGGCATTCCAGCTTCTTGCAATCCGAATTAGAGACGTTGACTTTCTCACCTTACTATTTACTTACGTTGTAAACGTAAAGCAGATTCGGATATCAGCGATTTTTCGACAGAAAAATTCATATTTTCTGGCCCTTGTAACTGAAAAGGAGATCAATCTTGTTCGAATATATAGTAAACTACTTAATCTAATACGTTGTGTGGTCAGAATCCACGGACTTTGATTCCAATTCTCGATAGATGACAAAAGGTGTCAGCTCGTCCGTGTGGTCAAAGCTAGCGCCTTTACATGAACTATATTCTCAGACGGTATTCTCCAAAATTAATATTCCCTGGTCGATCTAAAAGAACTGCAGGCCCTGCGAGTTTGAAATCTATATTTTAAATTGGGGGGGGGGGGGCTTTACATAAATCTTCAATAACATTTTCTAAAAAATGGCACCATTTTCAAATTAAACTGTATCTTCGGAGAGCATATAAGATGCTTAAAAATGGCGAAGATCTCGTTTTCGTTGAAATATCTAAATTTTCGAAAATTGTAAAGTTCAAAATAGTTTGGTGACTTCCTAAAACTACAATATTGAAGATATAGAATACTTTAATTAAATGTTTCATCAAAGAGAGAGCTCTTTAAATAAAGTCAGGCATATTTCTTCGCAAATATTAGTAGTTATCGTGTAATTTTGATGGAAATATAGGAACTTAAAATACATATTTTCTTAAAAACGATTGCATTACATGAGCAATTTTTTGTTTCATTTTGGGGAAGGAGGTATTACTGTATTTTACGGACTGTAAGACACACTTTCTTCTTCGATAAATTGCCTCCAACATTCAGGTGCGTCTTGTACTCGAAATTAATATTAAAAAAATGTTCAGTGTTGACTTAAAATTCACACCAGTCTTAAAAATAGCTATATATTCAATGCTGCGGAAAACCTATCTCTTAACTGGCTACATTGAATTCAACTGGTAGCAGAAGTACAGCAATACGTCGAACATAGGTTGCAAGAATTCACAAAGTTGCTAACACTGTCTCCCTTCCGTCCCGCCATCACAAGCCCAGAACACTGTCTAGCCTAAGATGCGTCATTGCAGTCTATGGTGTCAGTAAACTTGAATTGAAAGTGATTGGTGCTATCGGTAACAGAACAATATTTTTGTTACTGGGTACTTTCGAAATGGAAAAGCACAAAAGGTGTTCATACAATGCGGGCTACAAATTGAAAAATTGCTTAAAACTTAAGGTCTTGTAGTCCGTGAAATGCGGTGGTGATTGGCTGACGTGGCCCAGGTGCGCAACGGCCACATCAAACGCATCACCGACAACGAGGTGCGGTCGCTGGTGCTGGAGCTGGCCGGCACCAACGTGGCCACCACCTACATCTCGTGCCCGCCCGACCCGCGCGGCGTGCTGGGCATCAAGCTGCCCTTCCTCGTCATGATCATCAAGAACATGAAGAAGTACTTCACCTTCGAGATCACCGTGAGTGGCGCTCGCGCCTGCTTCTTGGCCCCACGATCGACCAGGCAACCTTTCGCCTGAATTTATCTGATCCTGTTACACGTTTGTTTGGGATCAGACAAGTTAAATTTATTCTGGTTGCTGATTAATGGATAAATGCATACTTTTGAACATAACGTAAATTTCATCAATAGAGATAAATAGGTCTGAAATGTGTATCTGTGATTTTGGAATTTCAGCTTTTATACACCTTTTCAACTTGCTTACTCGATTACTAAAAGGAGTCTCACGTCAAATCAATTGTTGTCTATAACTCTACTTGTATGTCCGTCTGTATGAACTGATTTAACTCAAAATGAACTGAATCTTTGATCATTAAGTTTTAACACATTATAGATACTACACATAGGACCAACTTAGTTTTTGTTTTACCTTGATGTCTCAAATAGGTTCGAAGGTATGATTTTTTTGTTGATCCCCCCCCCCCCGCACTCTCCTATTCTGTACCTTGTAATAACATCAGTTACAATAGTAATAATCGCAATAGCAATAATACTAGAAATAATATTAGTAATAATAATTATAGCAGTAATAACAATGTTAATAATGATGTTCTCGAAGAATAGTACGAAAAAAACAGCAGATCCAGTCGGGTTGAAAGACATCGTGAGCCCAAACGGTGGACCGGAAGGGCTCTAACGTGAGTGAAGGACGGACGGACACGCGTAGGTTACTCGGAATTTTATATGCAATATTAAGGTGTTATTTCGTTTTCCTGATTCAGTCGCTGTCTGGAAGAGAATTCTAGCATCCAGCTGCACTGTCCGGTAGTTTTCCGTGGTTTCCGGAGCCGGAGTATTTTGTGGAGGTGTTAGTTATACGCTTTGGCTGTTGGTATATCCACATTTTAAATTTCGTGCAAGAGTTTGTCTCCCAACGGACGTTTTAATTCTTTATGGCAGCCTCCTAGGGCAATAGAACGCATTTGGTTTGCCTTGTCGAACATATTTATTGCTTTAACCAGTGGATTCGCTCTATCGCTTTGCTGGAAACTTGAGGCAAACGCCTGATACACGCAGAGATTTCACTTGCGCTTTTGTCAGAGACGACCGGAATTCGTTTCGTCTGTATCCATCTACCCTGACGAAGCACACCCGGAGTGGAGTTTTATTTAAGAAAGCTTACTTCTTTTTCTCTTCTCCGCGGAAGGATGGTCATTGCTTTTGAAGGAATCAACAGATTATGATGGTCGATTGATTATGATTATGATGGATGATTTATTTTCAGTATTGAAGGGTTTAGTCGTTTGACTCAGTTTGTGTGTGACCTGACCCCATTTTTTCACAGATTCTTAATTTAGAAGTGCCGTCCTTGCCTGTATTTGAGTTTCAAGCATTGAACGAACTGCACACTAATGATCGTTTTGATCAATTCGTCGGAATACGGCTCCTCCTCCTGACCTCATGTTCCCAATGTCCCTTGCAAGAAGGTACTTTATATGATAATTTACAACTCTCTTGATGACTGAACTAGAGAGTCAGAATTCTTTAGTTCACCCGCGATGACAGTGGATCAGCATTTTTTCATTCGTTGGGAATTGAGTCATTTTGAGTTTTTAGTCTGTCCTTATATCATTATATAGTGATCCTATACACAAAGCTAAATTTTCCTTTATCTGTTCTTTGTTTTCTGCTTTTATATCGGGCGTTATAAAAATGAATGTGGTATGCTATTCATGATAACATGTGCATGTCGTTGAGACAATGTGAGTATCGTGGTCTAGATTTTATATTGAGGCGAATATATCTTTAAAAATAAAATGTTATCCCATATTTTTACTTTTTTGTTTTACTATGTACATAACGTGTGTGACGTAATAACGTAGCGAAGAGAAAGTATTTTAATGCCACGGCGAAAATTGGCGATTTTTCGACAGAAATCTAGAATTGACAGGCTCTGGTAACGGAAAAGTCGATAAATTGTTTGTAGTACTTACTTTCTCTTTTGTGTTGTGAGAATTCACGTTTTGTGGATCTTTGATACCGAAAAATTGACGATATGACGTCTGTAAAACACGATAGCGCCTAAACCGTTTACACGATTTTCTCCAAAACTGATATTCTCCTTACCTCGTTTGAAAGAGATATTTTTATTTTGGGGGTATTTTACATACAACCAGAAAATTTCAAAATTTTCTCAAACATGGCACTAAATGTTTGAATTAAAACTGTTTCCTGAAAGCGTAAAGGACGCTTAAGAATGACATAGGTCTCTTTTTCAAAACTGCATTCGATCAAATGAGTCACGGCGTCTTCTTACATCAAAGTTGATGACATAGAAATAAGTTCTTCAAAGGCAGCTCTTTAAATGTGATCGTGTACACTTGTTCGAAAATATGAGGTTTTGATATAATTTTGCTTGAAACAAAGGCAGTTTTTAAACAATTATTTTCTCATAAACGATTCGCAAACGAAACGCAAAGGGCAGTAAAAAATCGTGCTGATCACATTTCCGGTAACTCATTGTATTTTCGAAAATAGCAAAAAATGTACATTCCAAATGTACAATATTGGTGATAGAGATTTTTTCTTAAATAAAGTCTATTTAAAAAATTAGACTTTTAAATAAAGGATGTACAATTTAAAAAATAGTAGATTTCGCTTAATTTATTCTTTAAGTTAATGCATTTTTTTAAATGAAAAACTATTCCAGATTTTTTCTTTATTTTTTTCCACGGATATTCCAAACGTCGTTTAAAAATGTAGCTCTCATTTTCGGTGAACTCTTCGAAGATTCGAAAATTGCAAACAATCGAAATAATGTGTTTTGTATCGTCCTAGTTTAAAAAATATAGTTTGTTCCTTTATTCCGATCAGACCACGATTTTTGTGTTTTGAATTCCTTATTAAGCCACCAGAAGGTAACATTTGATTATCGAACATGAACATGTTAAACATTTCAGTCGTTCGTTACACGAAATCTCTTCAAACGAACACCTTTTCGATATCCCAGAGACTTTCTTTCCGACGGCGGACGGGCAGATCTCCAACGCGTCTTCCCCCGGCACCAAACAGCTCTCATCCGCTCGTGGAATGTTGAGGAATGTAGCGTTGGATTTCCGGCTTAATTAGCGAGTTTCTCATTCAGCAAATAAATTTCACAGCGCCGTGGATTTGCAAGATCATTTTGCAATGAGAGAGGGTTCATGGGTTTCCAATTTCATTGCAACAATGCTCATTTATGTAATATCATGTGTCTTGAATACAGGAATAAATTTATTAAATTTCATGCAAATTAATATAAAAAAATATGAAAATTTGCGATAAAAGATGAGGAACATACTCTTTTTGTTAATTACTAACGTTACTCAACGCTCATCTTGCGGATTGAAAATGTAAGAAGGTTGTGTCGACATCTGAAAGGGAAATATTCTTTACTGAAAGGCATTTTAGTGTTAGGTAAGGCAGGATATCCTCGTAGGTGGGGCCTTTGAACATCGAGAAAAAGACTAATATTTTTTCTTCTTTCTTTATTGCAATTGCTAGTATAATGAGTCATTTGTTACGTTTACTTCTAGAAATTGTATTTTAACTATTTAGTATAAATTAATAATAAAGTAAATTCAATTATTTTATTCCGACGTTGAAGAAAATTATATCAAAATATTTCTTTTTTTCTGGATAGATGCATAGTGAAATTATGGGATGTAAAACAAAATTCAATTGGAATGATTTGTAAACGAAGCTTACTTCGTTTTAATGACACAGACCCCCCCAAAAAAAGGGTTCGTATTTTGGGATCAGATAATGTTTTCTATATGTTTTGGGGGTCGCTAAATTTGAAATCAGTATTCATTTGACTGCATCACGCGAGGTTTTTGACATGATCTCAAGAAATATAAAAAATGGAGGATATTTCAAACTGAGGGATCAGACCATGTTACCTATATATTTCTGGAGGTCGCTGAAACCGAATCTGACGTCCAGTTAACTTCATCACATCAAATTTTTCACATAATCTAAAAAAAATCCTGTCTACTTGGAGAGAAGGCTAGTTGGCGCCAACTATATTGGCAAACTGCCATAATATAACGTGATAAGTTTGTCCCCACAGAGGCCAATACTACATCATCTATCAATTATAATTTATCTGAATTTAAAAAATATGATGTGGTATTAAATGGGCTTAAGATTCTGTTTCCCCAAAAGCATATAGGTAACATAGTCTGACACCTGGATTAGAAATATCTTTCATTTTTTATATTATTTGTGGTTATGTTATGACCATTCAGTTTATGACCATATTCGGATTTAGCGACCCCCATAACATATAGAAAACATGGTCTGATTCCCAGACACGAACATATTTTTTTGTGTGTGACTGCGTCATATTTCTTGAAATATTTTAGTACCTATATTTGCAATGTGCTTTCACGTTTGATCAACAGTTTTTCGAAAATTAATGTAAAAGTACATTACTACGTAATGTGAAAATAATTCGAGCTCATTTTATTTTAAAAGATTAACGTCACAACTGTTCTCGCAGGGCCTCGATGCAGAAGGTCCATATAAGGTCTCTCACTGCCACAGTCAAAAAGCAGTTTGAAACCTAATTTATGTAGATATGGATTATATAAATTAAATTTAACCATTCATAAATAATTTTGCCAACGTAATATTTGAATTTACAGATATCAAGATTAACGTATCAAATAACAAGATGTTAATTTTTTGATTTGAGTTTTTGTCTAAAATGTTGGTCCTCAAATTTTTGTAATAATGATTGCACTAAAGAAACAGTTAATTCAGTAACGTACAAGATGACGGGCTATGTCTTTGATTTCATTGACACAGTTGTATTGCGACACATAAAACATTTGAAAACACACCAGTTTCTTAAACAATGTGTTCACAACTGACTTATCTAAATGCTCGACGAGCTGGTCCATGCAAGCCTGGTGGTAACACTGTATCGATGGTAAAGAGATAATGAAATGTGATTTCGACCTTAGTCATTTCTTCGCAAGATCACTGAAAAAAAGGTGAAAGAATTCTTTCAAGAGACGAAGCGCAAAAGGTTATCTATCGCTTTCAGTTCTATTGTCGCCACTGATGATACTCATCTTAATGGATTTAATTTTCAAGAGTCACTGTCCTATAGATGTTCTGTGGCGGAATTCTGATTGTTCTGCAAAATAAAATAAAATAAATTAGCACATCACAAAAACTAATCAGCTTAAAGGATATCATATCTGCATCCCATTATCTTGAAGCTAGAAGGGGTACATTCCACTATAAAACACTGAGCGGGTAATCGGCTGAGTGGGTGGGTGGCTGGCTAAGCGGGTAGCTGCCTGAGCGAGAAGTAGGATGAACGGGTGGTTGGTCGAATGAGTTGTAACGTCGCAATCGTCAGCAATGCATGGATCAGATGGCCACATGCCACATCTTCTTCAGTAATTAACTCCTTTCTTAACAACAACTTTATTATTTCGGTTCTAGTACATTCAATACCTTTGGATCTATTCAGAAACTATCCACAGCTTAACTATTACAGCTATTGTGGATCTTAGAAGCAGGTCAACACAGTTCGACTTCTCAAGACATTCTATTTTTCTCTTCCCCAACTTCTTGTTGCCAAGCTCGACATAAGACTACTACGTTACAAATGGCCTGTTGAGCGGAAGGCTCGCTGAGCGAGAGGTTGGCCGAATGAGTGATTGGCTGAGTGGGGCTGAGCAGGTGGTTGGCCAAATGAGGGCCTGGCGGAGCGAGTGGTAGGCTGAATGAGTGAATGGTTGGCCAAATGAGTGGCTGGCAGAGTTAGGATGAGCAGATGGTTGGCTGAGTGAGTGTCCGGTTGAGCAAGTGGCTGGCGGAGCGAGTGGTAGGCTGAATGAATGACTGGTTGGCTGAATGAGTGGGCGACTGAGCGGGTGGTTGGCTGAGTGAGTGGCTGGTTGAGAGGGTCGCTGGTTGAGTGAATGGTGGGGTGAGCGACTAGCTGGCTGAGCGGGTAGTTGGCCGAATGAGTGGCTGACTGAGCGGGTCGTTGGCCGAGTGAGTAGTTGACCGAGACGGTGGCTGACTGGGTGGTGGGTTGAGCGGGTGGTCGGCAGAATGAGTGGCTGACTGAGCGGTTGGCTGAGCGAGCGGCTGGCTGAGGGAGTGGCAGGTTGAGCGAATGACCGGCTGAGCGGGGCGGGCTGGTGGTTGGCTGCGCAGGTCCTGGACGACAAGGACATGCGTCGGCGCTTCCGCGTCAGCAACTACCAGTCGACGACGCGCGTGCGGCCGTTCGCGTGCACGATGCCCATCGGCCTCAACAACGGCTGGAACCAGATCCAGTTCAACCTGGCGGACTTCACGCGCCGCGCCTACGGCACCAACTACATCGAGACGACGCGCGTGCAGATCCACGCCAACTGCCGCGTGCGCCGCGTGTACTTCTCCGACCGCCTCTACACCGAGGACGAGCTGCCGGCCGAGTTCAAGCTCTACATGCCGCTCTGCACCGCCAAGACCAACGCTACCTGATTTTTAGATGCTTTATAGAAGAAAATAATTACGCTACGCTTTGATGAAAGCTGTTTTTCTTTATTACGGTAGAGCTCGTACTTACGATAGTTAAAGTATGTTTTCTGGGGTAACAGGGTTTCTTGTGATCAAGGAGAGAGTGAAGCACTTCCAGGGTACACGCTTTGATCGCTTCGCTTTGCAATAGGAAATGTGGATTCATCTACGATCTGGTTAATCTGTGAGTGTCTGAAGAATGGGTCTCAGAAACAAAGAGGCTTATAGGAAAGTCTAGCCAATCTATTTTAGAAATAACTATTTTAGCTGTCTCCACTGACGTGTTTATTCAATAGATAAGAAAAGACGTTGGTAATTAATACCTGTCTAGTATATTATTTTGACAAGTCCAACAGTGCCTCACTACGATATTAATTTTTCGTGTAGGGAACTGAGTGACAAATTAGTAAATCAAGAGTAAAATTCTTAATATTTAAATTGCAAAAAAATTGGTGTTTATGAAACATTTTTACATTACGATAATTTGAAGGAGTCAAGACAAAGACAAAAGAAAATTGGCTAATTTTAGGAACAGCAGGTAAATTCGTTCATCAGCCAGATTGTTTGGATAAAACTATGTGAATGTGGATAAACAGATAGTTTCGGCCATTATCCAATTAATGTTGATATTATACAGTGGCCATTGGCAAAAGTAAGGTAATTGTCTGCCTGCGAGACATCTTATCTAATCGCAAGAAATGTTTTGGTACACATATGCGATGGATATTACGCTTTGCACAGACCCAAGATGCTTTTATGTAAATCTGTAAGCAAAGCCCGTCGCCAACTTGTAATTGCTTAGCAAAGAGGCGTATACTGAAGTTAGATTATGTTAGGTAGTGTCGTGCAAACAGATATTTACAACTGTCACTGTGTAATTGGAAACTTGCCTCTCACTAGCCTTAACTTTCTAGCAGAAATTTGACCTCTGTTTATCATATATCTGCTATTACTCGTCACCGTAATGTACTTTCCTTAGCAACTTTGTGTTGGCTAAATTCAACTTCCAGCCGAAGTCCAAAGTATGTATGTTTTGAAGCTGTCCTTCTTCCAACTTTATCTATCCATTTTGAATAACGTGAATATTAGTCGGATAATTGGAGAATTGCCAAATTAGGACTTAACCGTAACTTACACACGACCATATTTTTACGTTAAGACACAAATTTGAAATCTCACGGGCAATCATAAAAACTGCACTCAAAAAATTGTGATGTTAAATTTACCTAAGGCTCGCATTAGATTGAATTGTACATTCCGAAAAATAAGCCACCTTCAGATTATTTTTACTCACACTTCTGGAGCATATCACTTCAGTGTGAAATTTGGGCCGAACTTGCGGTTTACTGTGCAACTAGTCAATATTCGCCCACCCAAGGCCAACATATAAAAGCCATTGTTTGCATGCAGCCTTTGTGGCATTAATATATTTTAACACTGTTATACTACAGTCTATGGTATTAACATATTTCTGGGAGATAAATGGGATTGAAGTTTATAAAATTATTAATTTGGGAAGATGTATGGCACTGAAAGCAGTAGAGTAATAATCAGATTTGCTTCATCATTCAATCATAATTTCTTCTTCCCCCACTATTTACGTCCCCGGAATTCACAGTTACCCGCAGGATTACTTTAATCCTTCGGCCGGGAGGTCTGAGCTGTCTAGCATCTAGTATTACGCGTGCCATTACAATGCGTTTCACGCAAAGTTACAACGCGAAACTTGCAGATGGATGAGATTTGTCATCTTTACAAGTGTCGTGAGTCAGTGTACATGTCTTTGACGTAAACATGTTTTATTGTCTAGTAAAACATATTGTGTGATCTATTTATTGCCTGTTCGATGTGCAATTGAATTCGTTATAGGAATATCAAAATATCAGAGGTAAGGTTTTGACTGAAGTAAATGTAACTGTTTGGCAAGTGCATCACCACAACTCAAAAGGATCATGAACCATGAAGCGATTATAAATTCGGGGTCTTCAATACAAGAAATGGAAGTCGTAGCGACGCTTCCGACTGGATTGATTGATTGATGTTTCCGGGCTCGTGAATTGGTAAGGTCATTAGTCTCGTAAGTGTAGTGCATGATTAATTGCGGGAGCTGACGCTGATCTTGAATTGTAAGATCCGGCGCCGACCTACATGTCAGCTTTCCTAACCAGGGATCTTCCACCAGCGGGGCACCGACCCAGCTGGCACAAGCTCTAAGTGCGTGGTAGTGTAGTGCATGTAAGAGTGTTACAGCGGCCCGTTTGTTAGACTACTGCTCCGGCATTCGCCTGGTGGTGATCGGAGAAAATTCGGAAAATTACCGATCAGTGCCACCGGCCCCTAGAATTCTCCTCCAGACAGCGGGTAAATTCGACTTGTAGCTGTGTAGCTGATGTCGAAAACCCTGCCACTGTCGGGATTCGAACCCTAGGACCTCCCCGTCACAGGCTCTGCGCTGACATCATTTAATGTCACCTAAGCCGGTCCCGACTGGACCACTACGTCCAGCTGAGGATCTGTCAAAAGTCTCTCTTTAAATCGGACATAGTCGGCGGCGGCGTCCCCCGTCAGCAGGGATTAGCGGGAAGGGGGTCGGCGCAGCGCGAAACAGTGGCGAGCAGAAGCCCAGGGAAGGAAGCCCCGGAAATTCTGCTGACGTCATCTCGCCCCGCCCCCTTAGACCTACATCATCACGCTCAGGTGTTTGCGATCTCGTGGTTCAAATATACCATTGCTATTAGTTTCCTGTTACAAGCAACCCATCGGTGTGAACGATCAATCCTGCTAGGGAGAGCTGTTTTATGATTCGCTGTTGAAAATAACGTCGCGACTACAAGTAAAATTTTTGAAGAAGACATTCAAGATTTAACTTCATAAACTTCAAAGGATAAATTACAAATCAGGGAACATATTTCTCGATCATTGAAACAGGTTTACACAGCGAGCTAATGGCAATTTTCAATTTCCTTTAAAACTTACTTTCTGTGAAAAGCAACAGAAAAGTCTGTAAAATCTAAACCTGCCAATAAGAGATTTTAATTTTGAAATATTTGAAGACTAAATTATTTATTCATAAATTTATATACGGAAGATTTTTGTAACCCCTCCAAAAAAAACTTTTCATATTTCAGAATTGATTAAAAATCTATTCTCATGCTGATCCAGTGTCATGCAGATCTCTCTCGTCATATGTGGACACTCAGTTTCGCGAACAGATAAGAACGGAAACCGTAAATTATCAAGAAACGTAATGACTTTGGATAAACAACATTTGACGAAAACACCAATGCCATTTTTGCATACTAAATAAATGCGTGAGGCAAAACGAGTGAACGAGACACTTTATTTTCTGGAAGCAGAAATTTAATACTTAGACAATAATTGACCTTTGTATCACTTGTGCTCTACAAATGTCTATTTCTATTACTTGCATTTCTTAATAGATATCATTTGATGATGACATTAATTCGATATTTTGTCTTTATTACCACTGAGAAGACTTGGCTTATGCTTTTTCGTATTAATAGAAAAAATGATAACAAAAATTTTAAAAAATAGCTGTGAACGGGAAATACCTTCAAAACAGTTTAACAGTAGAAGCACGCGAAAACATGAATTCCATTTCAAACATTTATTATAAAATAAAATAGGAACTTCCTTTGTGTCAAAATATTTATATTAAATATTCATTTATATTTAACTTCAACATGAGTTCAAAACATCGGTTTCAAAACCCATCTCTAGATTTAGAATCCTAGTTATAATTTGTTGCCCCCTTTCTGTCTTCAAGAAGTGTAGAACGAACTGCGCGTTTGAAACTGGTCACGAATGTCGCAAGACCTGTTGGCAGACCTGTAAGTTTTGCCAACTTGAGCGTTTTTGAGCCGGAGTTGCCAAGTGGGCAATTGCAGCTCGCAGAGGTCGAGTCCCTAGCTGCCCCTTCTGCCGCGCGCAATCACGCGAAGAGAGCTCGCTGAGAAGTCTTCGCGAGCGCCGCGTTGGCAGCTGTCACCTCGTAATGAGCCGCGTCAAGTGGTGTAGTCTTGTTAAGCCAGCGCTGACCGGACGTTGGAAGAACAATGCGCCCCCTGCTGCCTAAGCAGTTTCCGATGAAAACCTTTAAGAAGCGAAATAGTTGGGGGGAGTAAAGGGGTACGATCAATGAATCGACATATTTTTGGGGAAAAAAAGCTTAGACGACATCAGTATGCACGAATTTTTCGGAGAGTACCTCCAAATATTCTATCTACAAGTTATGACCTACAATACCATACAAATTTGTCTGTCGAATTCCTGAAATGATATTCTTACGCAGGAGACTCCTTTCTTGAATATCTGTCTCTGTGCCACTGTTCGCTGCAATGCGCGTGCGGAATTTCCCTATGGATAATTGCGTCTAGGGAAGAAAAACGTGATTTGTTTCCCTTCATGTTAGCTGTTAGGGGTTTTCCTTTTATTACGGGAACGGGGCAAAACATTGAATCAGTGCGATTTCTGTCTGATATTTTCAAAACACACTCAGAAGAGAAGATAAATACTGTTCATAGAAATATCTGTGCTAGATTCTATTAATATTTTTGTGTACGTGTATTTATCTTCAACTAGGAGCCAGTATCTAATGTTTCACACGTCATGCCATTAAATGGAAGCTTTTTTCGAATATCCCACTGCTGTGAAATCCCGTGCGGAGTATATTGTCCTTAAATGAAAGTCTAGGTCATCTCTTAATTTGTGTGAACTTAATCCACTGTATATGCTTATATTTTAAATTCAGTGTCAGTGTAAAGACAACTTCCATTCATTAAATTAGTAAAACGCTGGCAACAAAAATGTATTTAAAATTCGTGTCTTGTTTAGTTAACACACATGATTCATTAAATTTTATTGGACTATACTTCCCGAATCTGTAACTAAAAGTGCTTGGGAACGAGTGTCGTAAAATGCCCCCCCCCCAATAATTTATTCACAGGGCGTCGCTCAGAGGGAGAGTGATGAGATCACATGAAAGGAGCAGGACTGTTTCTTGTTCGTGCGGTTGACACCCGGCTTCTTTCGTATCTTGTTGCAAGAATCTCTTAGTTCTTAACAGTTGTTTAAATGTTCTTCACAACAAAGAACGTTATATTAAAATAATGACCGAAGACATTTACATTTATCATAAATTCACTCAATTCTAAACAGTAGATTGCATTTCAAGAACAAATAAGCGACAATGTGAAAATGGAAACTACCCAAACATTATATGCTCGTAATAAAAGTTCGTGTACATTTGTAACTTCCGGCGCATGAAGAGTAAAAAATTAACTTTTAACACTTAAATATTTCTTAACATGTGTGCGAAACTCAAATTTCACCTTCTTAAGCAACATTCAATATGACACTACCTACCTTTGTTCAGTGGAATTAGACCAGTGCCTGTAAACATGCTTGTGTTTGAAAATCGATAGGAAAATCAATGGTTGGAAAAACTTAAGAAGGCACAATATATAAGCATTACTTAGATGGTATATTGTTATTTAAAACTTTAAAAAGATCGATTTTCTTTTTCAGAAAAGTATGGTCGTGAGGTCATTAGTATTGGAAAATGTACACTATTTGTTATATAAATTTTCCGTAAATAATGTTTTCAATTTTAGTATTATAAATAAATATTACAATATTTGCTACATATGTGAAAATTTAACTGATAATTACCTTGAGAAGGCGTCATAAATATCTTCAATATTAAACAATGCATAATACGTACCCAGCAACGTTTGCGTGTCATCCTCTTGTGGGAAGTTGTTCCGTTTTTTTAAAAGCAGCGGTGATTGTTTCCCTTTTAATTACTTGGAGCAAGTTTCTGGAGGATCTTCCCGAAGGGTGGAGTGAGGCGGCGCTCTCCCTCGTAACTGCTCGCCACTTTAGCGGCGCCTCGCGAGAGCTGTCACTTGCAGCTCACGCTGTTCACGGCAGGCTCCCCGCTCCCGTCCCTACCGCCCCCGATTCCCGCCCTGCCCCGCTCCCCGC